GAAAACCTAGTTATTGCTGACCTCAAATGGGTCAATTCTGACCTCGCTTTAGTGATGTAGAAAGGTAAGGGTGTATCAGTGATTCGATAATGGGTGTAATCACGGGTACAAAGGTATTGAATCTTTTGGAATGAGAAGGTCAGTGAAACAATAGTTTTCAGCTTGGTGTTCAGTAAATTTTTTTATGCATAAATAAACCCAGCAATGTTACAGATTACATGTCTGAAAGGGCCTATGAATCATCCTAATAAGTGAAGCTCTGAACTGAACAAAGCTTCACTGAAATCATGAATGCAGCTCTGATATATTTAGCTTACTTTACTCTGGTATAGGAGTATTTTCCTCTTCCTGTTTTGTGACTACTTTAATATCCCCTGCTTCACACAGCATAACATACAATAAATGTGGTTTACGTTGCTTATTGAACTGAACATTTGTGTAATATGTGCTGGAAGTGTCATCTCTGCCATCAACCTTATGTCAATTTGCAGTTCCATATGAAAAATATATTATTTTTTATATATGAAAATGGTTTGACACTAAAGTAAATATATTCAGACTTTTCTGCATTCTTGTTATGTCCCCTGTGTACCTTTCTGGCCTTCCCAGTCCTCACCAGAGGTCCCTGAATCCTGTAGTTCTCCAGGATCCTGAACCTCCGCAGGCTGGGTTGTCAGGAGTCCAACGGCATGTCCAATGTCACCTTGACTGGCCTTAAAGAGAGGGCACAAGGAAAAGATAAGGGCAGATATTCTGGATATTATTACTGTTTGCGGAAGATGTAACAATACAATACAACATAACTCTAAGAGAGAAATATAAAAATATGAAATACAGTGAGTGTATTTCTTATTTCTTATTTAATAACATAAACATGTGCTTGCACTCAGTTGATTAATTAAAGAGAAATACCCTTTTGTGTTTGAAACCAGCAGTACACAAACATTTCTAATTTTGTATGGAACTTCCAGAGTATGTACCCCTCCCAAACCTGTGAGCTCCTGCTGTCGCTCTTTCTGCCCCTGGTACAACAGGTTGGATGAAGTCTGCACCACAGTCAGCCAGACTGTTTATTTTAGTGTGTGGCAATTATCACTTTTATGGGTTTCCTATTAACTCAAGCTCCTAGGGATTATTTCATTTGCAGTTGTGTTTCAAAATATAAGAAGTGCGCTGGGGTGTACATTTGGCACCCTAGGGGGGGCTTTTCATGTATTCAAAGAGTGTTCCTTCATTCATTAATTACACTAACACAAGTTACTAAGAACAGCAAGAGCTATGTTTTTAGCCAACTAGCAACATGGCTCTAGTGATGGATTGCCATGACATTTTGTACAAACATTCATGTTCTCCACAGGATGAATTGTAATAACATGCAACAAGTAACTACTGAGGCTCTCAAAATAACTTTAAACTTGAACTTGGTAATTTGGTTTTCTTTACAATGAGCATTACAGCCTCAGAGCTGGTGGCATGGCTGCAGATGCTGTTTGTATTTTGATCTTCTTCCTTGTTTTTTGATGTAAACCTTCAATGCATTTACATGCTCTGATGAAATCTGATCGTTCTCATACTTCCAGTTTCTCCAATGTCCTATAAATATGTTTCCATTTTCAAGGTATGGGGGTTGATAATAAGTCGAATTAATGTCCAACTGCAACTACAACAAACTGGATTTGGATAATAATCTTAATCAGTATGCTATATCTTTGTAATAAGTAATATTATAGCATACTGTTGAAATTGCAAATTTATTTAGCTACACCAGAGCTAACAAAAAATAATTTTGGTCATCTTGTGTAACATCTCGGATGTCTTTGTCTTATTCTGTGTGTTCAGTATTCGGATTATGTTACACTTTCAAATTCAGTGGCTTTCATTGTGGCAAAATAACCACATAGTACAAACAACCTGCTCATTACACAATGCCAGGGATCCTAAAAGCCAACAATAATTTCTTAGAGCTTACATTCAAGGCTCTGTAGAGAATCTGTAGGTCCTGGATGCCGGTGATCTCCCTCAGCTGGTTGATCAGCATCTCGCTCTGCTGAGGGAAAGGATTAGACAAAGGGAAAACAATAGTCAGGCCTGAAATCCTTACTGCACCACTCCATCACATAGTTTGGATTAGTGATAGACTGGCATTTCACAACCATTTGGGCTAACCAAGTGGATAGAACAGGGCCATCTATATATTTATTTCTTTTTGACCCATTTTCTTGTATTGCTTCCAAATTAAAAGTTAAATGATCAAACAAGCCTGTGTAACCCATGTTTAACCTTTGTGATAACCAGCACCACGCGTAAGAGTCCCATTTGCAGATGCCCATGTGGCAAGTGAGGATAATAGCTCATGTGGGTCTCCCTTTTAGCCTATTACCCAGATGGGCACACACACAACGGGTATATATGGAGCTGAAGGACAAATGTCCAAATGTCAACTTGTCATGCCTATATGAGGTCCAAATGCTAGCAAGGTCAGGACAATAGCTTAATAAAACAAAAAAAAAAAAATACAGTTTTAAAGGAATGGTTTGACATTTTGGAAAATGTGCGTTTTCACTATCTTACAGAGAGTCAGATGAGAAGATTGATACCACATTTTGTGAGCTTTATAGGTGCTGGTAGGCAGACTGTGTTATTGTTGACAAAGCCAGGCTAGTTGCCCCCCCCCCCCTTTTCCAGCCTTTCTACAAAGCTAAGCTAACGTGTTGCTTGTGATAGCTTTGGATTTACTGTACTGGCAAATAAGTGTATTTTGCAAATTGTTGAATTATTCCTTGAATGCAGCTTGTTGACGATTTGAAGAATTGACTATTTTTTTATCTATGAATTGTCACCTTATGTTTAACAAGTGTATCCTCGATGGGGCTTGACATGTTGACTAAACAACTTTTCATTTAAACTGAACTCAGATTATAATATTATTATTACTTTATTATAATAAATGTATTGAGGCGTAATCAATTGTGTGCCACCTCACCACACATGCCAAAACCCCAATATCCACATTTAGACTGGTAAACACAAACTCTCAAAGGCTGTCATATGTTTTGATCTCATAGACATAGGCAAGAAGTATTAAATAGCAATAACATAAGTCTGCTGAGTGAGAGGCGCTATATTAAGCCTGCTACCCTAACAGCAGCTGGACATGTCAGGGTATCTTACACACATACAGGAAGCCATGAGCAGGCTGACCAGACTTATATGGAGTCCAGGTGCTATCTGAGACCCTCTTGGTTTGCCTCTATTTTAGGCTGCTGACATGGATAGCGCAGGCTTCTGTTTATCATTCCACTCACCATGCCACCAGACTTGAGTGACAAAGGCACTGGGTCTCTCTCTCTCTCTCTCTCTCTCTCTCTCACACACACACACACTTTCTGTCAATACTAAACAGAGCCAAACAATAAGGATTTTAACACCACATAACTTCCACTGTATGTAAACCTTTACCCTTAGTACATGACATCATAGAGAGCTTGGCTTAATGTAGCCCACTGTCTGGTATGATAATTAATTAGGAAGGCCTACTAATAAAGCAATAGCCTACTTGGATGGCAACAGAGCCAAAAAGGCCTACTGATTAAAGCGTAAATGTGACTCCATAGTAGTTAACTTTTTACTAGCGCGTCAAAAAGAAATTAAATATTTTATAGCCTGTACCTGTATGCTATTTAATGGAATATTGCACTGATAAGTCCGGTGTCCTATGCGACAGGAAAAGTGAATTTATCAAGCATTTGCTTATGATAGGTTATTAGCTGGATATGTTAGGCCTACTAATTTTTCAAAACCAAATGCATGATACTAACGTTAGTAATTTAGCGAGAAGATGTATTTATAAAACGTCATTAAAGCCTAATAGCCTGTGAAAAATAAAATTGTAGGCCTAAAGAAGCCTAAAGAAGACTGTGGAACAAGTAACGTTCTGCTAATTCATATCCGAAATTTGAATTTTATTGAAATAGGCTAGGCCTACAAGCGGTTTAGTGCAACGTTATTTTATGTGCCGAATTCACAAGTCTTTTTCACAAGTATGACAATGTTTTTTTTTTCTACCACGTGTTTAAGTACAACGTTGTTTAAGTTAACTTTAAAATTCCGGATTTTAGGCTACAGATTTGGGCTTAGCACATCAGAGGGGTTAGTGTTAATGTTAATTGCTCAGGCATCCCGACGCAAACATGTCACTTGTTAATAACGGTTCCTTCATCCTTTGCGCTCACCGAGTTTGTTGAGTTATCTCCATTTTCAGTCTGTTCACCTCTCATTGCAGATAAAAACCCCTGAATTTCTTCCTGTTTTCCCCAAATGTTTTCAGCCCTAACTCCGAGACAAACCAACTCCATCCGTCACACACCGAAAGCGACCAGCCAGCTGTGCGCGCTCACCTGTCAAGTAACGCGCGTGCACCAGAGCCATCGCTATAATTAACGCGCGCGCGCTCCCAACGTGACGGGATAGTTATTAATGTAATATAATAGCCTACTTCCAGTGTCTGTTACAGATTGAAACAGTTTCCCAAATGATTTTTGAGTCTCTACATTGTAAGGTGATTTCAACTTCTGTTTTGATTTATTTTTATTAACCTTCTTCATGCAATAGAAAATATACTGTACCTAACTATTGAAGAAATATCCTTCAACACTTTCATAGGCAACATCTGAAGATCTATGTTGTATACTTTCCCAATTAATTGACTAATCAATTTGTCAATATTATTCAACAAATGGTGATAAATGTCAATGAATTTTCTAAAGCCCAAGGTGACTTCTTCAAATGATTTGTTTTGTTCCAACCAACCAACTGAACCATCTCAATGATAACTGAGCGAACTTTGCCCACTGAAAGCCAAAAAAAGCTAGTAGGCTAAGTGAACCTTAGATGAGATCTGATTTGGGCAGACATAATTCATCACTCACCACTTACCACTGATAGATACACCAGCATGGAGTTTGAAATAGACAGACAATTTCCAATTCACTCATCTACCTACTTATTTTACACTATAATCAGCGTTGGGCAGTACTCAGTAAAGCGTTACTGTAGTAGGCCTAGTGTAACTAATGACTTTTCTATAACAGTGATATTATTACAGTTGCATTACTCGTTACTGAACGCGCCATCCTTGATGTGAGCAGCTCAGCAGCACCCGACTTTGTTGTTCACGTCCGCTGATAGCCAAAAACTAAAGGAAGAATGGAGAACGAGGGAGAGAGGCGTGCTTTCCACAGCTGTAAGTAGCTAATGCCATTATTGTGTCACAGTCTAAGATACAAATAACATTGTCATCTATTGTAAACTCTGGGCGACCAGCAAAAAGCTTTCAACTGCGAACGTTTCTACATCTGATTTATTGAAGCATGTGCTGAAGCAGCACAGAAACTGCCGCAACTGTCACTGATTGGACTCGTCGTGGCTTTAACTTAACGTTTTGTAACTATGCTGCTCATATAAACAGGCTACATGTGCAGAAAAATAGTAGTTCAAAAGAAGGGATTTAGGTTACTTGGTTTATTTTATTTTAGATTTCAGCCGGTGGTGTTAAGAAACGTTAAGCCTAGGCTATGTGCTTTGAAAAAAAACATACTCCTTGCTGCTGTTATGAATATGATATTAGTTAAAAAGTCGGGAGGGACTGCTTTGTTTGGGGGTGAAGGGGAGTGGTTGTGAAAGCAGTGTTTCCCATGATTAGCTTATAATTCGGGTTAATTATCAACGCTGACTGCCACATATTGATTTTCTGTTTTTTTTACCAGGCGATTCAAAATCATATTTGATTGAGGAGCTGTAGCAGCGCTCTCTCTCTCTCTCTCTCTCTCTCTCTCTCTCTCTCTCTCTCTCTCTCGTGAACACCTGCACTAACCTGTCGAAACTTATTCTGTGGGAAACACTGGAAGGTAATATAGTAACGTAACGACTAACGTAACAAGTTATTAGTTTTTCACCCAGTAATAAGCAATAATATTACTTTTTAAGGAGTAATAAGTAACTAGTAGGCCTAATATACATTTCCTCAGTGTCTTTGGGTCTTGAGTGGGATTTCAAATAAAGGTGTTAGGGAACTTGAGTGAGTACAGAGTAACTTTGATGCCTTTTGTTACTTTTACATCAGCACCTTCATTAGTTCTCATTAGGTGTTTTGTGCTGTACAGATTGTAAAGCCCTCTGAGAAAAATCTGTGATTTGGACTATATAAATCAAATGGAATTGATTAGACTGGCATTGATTAAATTTTCACATTGACAACTAATATTATTTAAAATAGACAGCCAAAGATACACCTAAAGTGTACATAATATGCTTTAGGAGAAAGAACAACTAGCCTTCATGGCATGCTCTATTTGGTGTTTTCAGCAATAACAGGTACTTAAGTGTTCATGCTCCTGTAGCGAAGCAATACACTTGCAGTAAACAAACCTTCAGGGAGTTTCCTCATTATGTATCACCTTACCCGGCAGGGGAAAATCAATATCAGTACAACCAAAATGTCAGCGCTACCCTTTTCACTGTTCTTTCTTTACACCGAGTACCGAGTACTGTTGAACCTATTTGATGAAACTGTGGATATTTTTGTGTTAACAGAGCAGATGTTTTGATGTGACACCTAGATAACACCAGTAATCTGGGATCTGGAAGGCTGATTTTTAGCTTGATGTCTCTCATTTGGCTGACATTGTTGTTCTCAGGTAAGATGCTCTTTTTGACTAAAGACAATAGCATTTCCTAAATTTGAAATTTTAAAATGACCCTGCAGGGTTTTGTTCCAAAGATTTCTGTTTTGTTAAGTGTTCCTTCAAAACTGAGCAACTGTAACATTTTCAAATATTTCATGGTTTTCTGTGTAGTGTGACAGCTGTATGGCACATTGCATTCCTATTTATTTTACTTACATTAGGTGAGCGAGCACTCTTTTATAGATTTGGTTTCAGTTTTGTGATGGTTGTTTTTCAAACTGTTAAAGTTCATGGGACACATGTACTTGTTATAATAAATGCACTGAAATTGACAATGTAGAGTCATTGTCACAATCCTGACTGTTAAATAAAAGTATAAAATTAATTTTCTTGAGGTAGTGTAATAATGGACACTTGCCCAGTTTGCACAGTTGGTAATCTAGATTTGCCTTTTAGCTCATCTGGCTGAATGTGTGCCAGAAAAGCCAAAAAGATCAGCTCTGAACCAGCTGACCAGGACCCTCCTCAGGAAATATGACTGCGGTGTTCGACCTGTTCACAACTGGACCAGTCTCACCACTGTCTACATAGATCTCATACTACAGTCTGTGCTTGACGTGGTACGTAAACTTAGAAAGCTCTCTACTGTGATCACACTGATGCTAAAGTTGTTTTACTCAACAGGTTAGATATTTCATCAAATGAATGTGAAGAGTGAAAGACATATAAATCTTATATTTACAAAATACATCTAAAGCCCTGTTAGTCCCCTGAGATTATAATGTTCATTATGGCATTTTATTTATTTATGTAATGGTTTTGTTAGTATGCTGTCTTGAAAGTTGTCCCATCTATCCTGAAGGACTATGAGCTCATCATAGCATGGCAAGGTTAAGTCAGTCAACTGCTCCACATAGTAACCTTAATATAAAACAAAAGTATCATTGACACATTCTCCTTTTCGCAGGATGGAAACACACAGAGCATAACTTTAAGTATTTGGTACAGACAGGTAAGTGTGCCTTCATTTCAATCTGTATTTCTTTTTTTTTGTTTCTTGTTTTAAAGATTAAGGAAAACAAGCATTTCCCCTCCATCAAATCAATATTTTTTTAATCAGAACCAGACCAGTATCTACCTAAGTTGGCTTTCTCACATAATGTAAACTGTCAGCTTTAAACAACATAGGCAGTACATAGTGTATTCATTTTAAAGTTTCTTCACAATATGCAGCGAGTCTTGTGATCTTAAAAGTAACTCTCACTTCACACAGTATGTGAAATTATGTAGTATTGATTTGAATACACTTCATTATCAGTAGCACAGGCAGCAAAGTTTCATTTCTTGATTGACTTTTGTTTCTGACTGTTTTCAGATCTGGACAGATGAGTTCCTGGTTTGGGACCCAGATGAGTTTGATGGGATCAATGAGATCTCACTGTCATCTGATGCCATCTGGATACCTGATATTATCGTTAGTGAATTGTAAGAAATTACCGAAAACACTCAGTCACCAGTGTCCTTCAGTATCACCAGGGTCTAAAGCAGGGTCCAAGATTTTGGAATGTGGGTTTTCCTACCTTTCAGGTAGCTATTTACCTCTATTGACCTCACAGTCCACCATGAACCCTAGGCACTGAATCCTTACCTTAAAGCAACTGTGAGTACAATTTAAAAATGTCTTACTTTGGTGTCCTCAGTGATAGCATCAAAAAAGACGCCAGGCCTTTCTCAATGAAGTTCAAACTTGCAGCACTCTTAATTTGCAACAGGCACAACAGTGTTCTTGCTGACATCACTCGCTCAGCAAGGCTCAGGCAATTACATAGGTGAAACACTGGACTGTTGACCATGGACACTGACTGACTGGTCATATGTAGCTATGCTGCTAGCTAAAGCTATTTTGCCCTTACATTGGAGCAAATTTTCAGAAAGGCATTATTTTTAACAGTTGACTGTTGATAAAGTCTCTGCAAGTTGATAAATAACTAAACAGTCCATAATAAGTAACTGGAACCCAAGGGATGTCTGTACGATTGGAAAAATATACAAAATAATCAAAACACTACGGAATGCATTGAAAAATATTCAGTAGTAATGTTATGTAATATACATCTACATGACTTGGTTCAACATGCAAAAACAACCTAAGTCTTCTTAACCCTAATGGAAAGTAAATTTAAATTCCAGAGAGTCCGCATGAGTTAAGGGTGGTGATGAGCAGTGGCTAAGACACATGCCTTTGGTGTGAGATACCCGGGTTGAGCAAGACACTTAACCCCATATATACATATATGACATATATAGCAATTGTAAGTTGCTTTGGATAAAAGTGTCAGCTAAATGAGTAAATGTCATAATTGTCATATTAATGTCCTTTATGTGTGATCCCAGTGTGGACGAGGGGAAGTCCCCTCCAATCCCCTATGTGTACGTCAACTCCTCTGGCTCAGTGAAGAACTACCGGCCCATGCAGGTGGTGCTCGCCTGCCGCCTGGAGATGTATGCCTTTCCATTTGACAAGCAGAACTGCAGCCTTACCTTTCGCAGCTGGCTTCACTCAGGTCTGTTTCCTGTCTGTGATAGGGTGGTGGAAACCTGTGTGTTGTGGTGGTCTGTAAGCTCAGTAAAGTCAAGTTTAACACTTTTGCATTTGCAGAATAGAGTACTTGAGGAACATGATAAGGTGTAACTGCTTTAGATCCTCTCAAACCTTTACAAAAACACTCTTAAATCAAGGTTAACTTTTCCAGAGCATTCAACAGTAGGTGTTTGCACAGTTTTACAATCAATAGAGACCGCCAGGATCAATGGTGAGACCCCCTTTTGTGCCTGGGTCAAGTCATAAGTGGTTAAGACTTCTCACAAACAATTTCAAAGATCTCTGCCGGTTCACCCTTAGGACTGAATCGACCTGTAGAGGAAGATTGTATGAGACAAGATTATATGATTGTGTTTGATATCACGTGTGACGGCTATATCGAACACAACATTGGTGAGACAACAAGGACCTTTTACAAGAGGCTGAATGAACACTAGTAACAGACAACATCATCAGCAGTCTGGGAACACCAGACCAAAACCAGTATTGACTGGGAAGGGCTCAAAAGTCATCGACCACGAATTGGCAGACAGCTGGAGAAAAATCAAGAAGGCCTTTCACATCACATCCATCTTTGAACAGAGACAGGGATACAATTAGGGCTGCAAATAAATGTTTTCATTATTGATTAATCTGCCAATTAATAAACTAATGATTTTGTCTATAAAATGTCAAAAAATTGTAAAATAAAATGTCACTCACAATTTTCTAAACCCGAAGGTGAATTCTTCAACTAATTTGTCTTTTCCAACCTACAGTCCAAAACCCAAAGATATCCAGTTTAGTATAAAATAAGGCAACTCTTACGTAGAGGCTGGGCCTAAGTAATGTTTTGTTTTTTTGCTCATAAATGGACTTTAATGTATAATTGATTCTCAAAATAGCTGAAGATTACTGTCCACCTGTCACCATGTGGACAAAGACAACACTTAGATCACATGATGACAACTCAACCATGGCCATGATAACTTAGCGAAATTCTTCCACTGATAGACCTTAAAGGTTGTGTAATATTTGTTACACATTATCCATGTTGATTCCACATTCCGGCTTAAGAGTACATGAACACACAATGCAGTCGGAAGAACGACTTCACAATTCGGGAAATGGGACCATCTGAGGAACACGTGAATGCACCGTGAAATGCTCGTTGCAATTCACAACCCTCATCACTAGATGTCATTCAGATTCACACACTGAACCTTTAAGATGCAGTTGAAAGCTCAGACGACTTACCCCTGATACATACACCAGCAGGGCCACTGAAGAAGACAGGCAATATACAATTTCCGATTCACCTTGTTTGTATGTTATTAGACAGTGTAAGGATGGTGTCTGGATGAAATCCATGTAAACAGAGAATGCTCTTGCTGTGAGTTAAAAAGTGATGAACATGATGAAAATAAAAAGCAGACATTTAACTGCTGTCCTTTATTGTTTCTCCATCTCTTTTTTATCTTTATTATCTCTCCCTCTGCAGTGAAGGAAATAGACTTGGCTCTGTGGAGGAGTGCAGAGGCCATTGCTAATCATAAGAGGGAGTTCATGAATGACGGAGAATGGGAACTGTTGTCCATTCCTTCCAGCTACTGGCAAATCCACCAAGACAACACTGACTACGCCCTCATCCAGTTCAATGTATGTGTCTCATTGTCTCTCAATCTTGTGTATTCATCACATTTATAAGAGGGAATGATTTAAATAAGAAAGTTAAAGTTAGAGAGTAAAAAGTAATTTTTATATAGTACTATTTCACTGGTGGATAATGGTGTAATATTGTGGATGTTTAACACCTCTGTAACACGTGAGTGAATAACTGCACTGATGGCTGTGACTGCTTATTGATGGTGAGCTTTTAACTGTAGCCCCCTGTGGGTTAGTCCCCCCTCCTACACTATGTGGTGGAATTGTAAAGTGTAAAGCAATTGGCCGCGACCTTCATGGATCGGGCTAGTGAGCTAATGCCAAATGATGAGACTGGGGCTGTTTCTGGCAAATAAAGAGACAGATAGAGAGGGAAGCTGATAGACAGGGGAGGGTGAGCAACCATAATGAGACTGTCTCAGTGGCTGCCTGATCAATGGACTTCTTGTTAGTGGTGAGGAAAATGGCCCCATAGCCCTTTGCAGGTGGAGAGCAGGGAGGGCTACTATTTATTCGGCTCAAAGAACGAAGGCTTTTTAGTAACGGAGCATTTCATGGCTCACTGGGATATTGTTACACTGTGGCAGTTTTCCTGATAAAGGAAGTCATATAAAAGGAGTTTCTGGTGAAAAATGCTTTTGTTTATTTCCAGTTTTAACACAACCTGCAGGGAGAGGGAGGGGTGAAATGACAGCTATAAATTTTTCCTTCAAACACTTATGACCAAACAAATAAACATATCTACACACATATATTATGTGATGCAGTGATGTAGTCCTGAATAAATATCAAAATGTTCTAAATAAATAACAATGTTTAAATTCAAACCCATTTATTGTTTTTTCATTAAGTTTATAGATATGCAAACCCAGGACGCTCTCTTACACTACCATTACACTATTCAATGCATCTCAAAGAAAACTGAGACTATCTTATACAAAAACACTTTTCAAAAACTGGGACTGGGACAGTGGGACTGTGAGCAAGCATGCACAATGCCTGGACCGTGAAACTGAAGCACCTAATTGGAATTCAGCCACCATTTTTCATCGTCAAACCCTGGTCAAAGAAAAGCAAAACCATCTGCATGACTTGACTCCATTTGAGGAAATGTGTTTCAGGACATGTGGTTGATTTAATAATATTATTTCTGATAAGTGTCCATCAGAGCTGTATGTCCTTATCTTTGATTCAGGTGTTGATCCGCCGGCGCCCCCTGCTGTATGTGGTGGGACTTCTCATCCCCAGCATCTTCCTCATGCTGGTAGATGTGATCAGCTTCTACTTGCCTTTGAACAGCGGTACACGCATCGCCTTTAAAATCAGCATACTGCTTGGCTACACGGTCTTCAGAGTCAATATGACTGATGAACTGCCTTCCAACGCAGTAAACACTCCACTCATAGGTCAGATATTTTCTGTTTTCTGTTGCTTAGATAATTTTTTTTCTTACCATTATATCCATTTGTTTGTGGGATACAATATTTAGCTTTTGTTGGGATATTTTTCTGCCGCCTTGATTTTGTCTGGCATAAATCTACACAGTTAAACTCCATAGATAATCCGTTTTATTTTATTATTGCAACCAGAAAAGTCAATATTCCCACATAGCAAATTCCAAAATTCACTTTCTGTAGTTATATATATAAAAAGTACTTTCATTCATAAAGACACCAATAATAATAATCATAAGACAATAACGACAGGAATTAAGGTGAAACTATAAAATCATACTTTGCATTTAGGTGAATGTAAATATTTTCATAGAAGAAGTATACTGTGATCGGCATTTTAACTTCCCACCTATCCCATCTCCATCCAGGTGTGTTCTTCGTGGTGTGCATGGCCATGCTGATGCTCAGCCTGATCAAGTCTATACTGGTGGTGAAGCTGCTCCACTACAGTGAGAAGGAGGTCAGGCAAATGTCATTGTCTGCCTGCCTGCTGGACAAATATGGCTCAGCTGGTCAAGGCTTCACTGACAGCATTAAAACTGGAGGTAAGCCACAAGCTCAGAGACGGAGATTTTCCAAATGTCCTGCTCACAGGTCCACAGTGTGTTCTTGCTTTTTTATTCACCAAGTTGGTGGTCTGTTTGCAAAAAGCATAGGTGCTTATTGGAGCCACGGGTGAAAGAACACTTGGATAAAAGGAAATTATGGCATTTTTTGTCTGTGCAGGAAAGTTTAAACCCTAGGATGGAAAACAATGTTGCTCTGCCTTCATTTTTATATTCATGATTAAGGAAGGAGAAGAGCGATTGAATTCTGTGGCTGGCTGAGATTAAACAGTTTGCACCAAAGTGATCATAAAATGTCCCATAGTTAATGGCTGATTTGGATTGTTCAAATTTATTTTAGAGAAACTGCATGAATCTACATTAATTGCTCACATATTAAACCAGATTCCTTGATCTTCTCATAGATTTTGAGCTTGAGCCCTCACTCGAGGAAGATCTGATGTCCCTGAATGAGATCCAGGATGCTCCCACTGGGCTGGAGTGGCTTCTCCAGGAGCTGGTTTCCCTCCGCCTGGCCTTATCCCAGGAGGACACTGAGTCTTCGGCTCAGGCTGAATGGCTGGCCCTCTGCTCTAAGCTCGACTGCTTCCTGTTCCGCTTTTACCTGTTGGTTCTGGTCTTGTATGCTGGTACTCTGCTGCTGCTCTGGGCCAGTTGGAGCTTTGCCTGACCACTCAATCAGATACATAATGATTTTTTATTACTGTAACTGAAAACTTTAAATATTTACAATTATTCATGATGCTTTACTTGTGTATTTAGAATATAAGTGAATAAGTGATCTACAAAATCACAAAAGTAAATAAAAATAAACTGAATAGAATAGGATACACTTTATATTGTATGTATATTGTTAACCCATACTTTTAAAGTATATTATTAAAAGTGTCTTCTTATTTTTGTAGTTTTGGCCATTGTTTTTATTAGTCATGATAATAGCAGAACAGCAGACAGACTGATGTTATTCAGCATAGCATTAGTTCAGGCAGTGCACTGAAGATGCACTTGCTTCAGCTGATTGGCATCAGCCACCATATATGACTAATTGATGTATCATGCCTTTGCTACCAGATGACCAGTTTCATCTAATCATATTCAAGTGTTTCAGGCAGCCTTTACAGCCTGTCTCCATTATTCTGATTCTCTAATGCCATCAGCTGACACCTCCCTCCACCACCCTAACTTCCACCTCATGTCACTGAAGTGTTATCTTTCTAAGCTCATGTTCATGTAGATTTCCATATCTGATGCTAAAGTGTTTGGGGATTAGCTCTCTCAGTAGAATCCTCATTGCTGCTCAGAGCAGAGCTTTTTCAGCCAAATGTATAACAATTTGCAATAAATGGTAAATTCTTTGACACGTGTCAGAGAAGGAAAACTGTACACACACAACCACGATAAGTACTGTAGTTGAAGCAGGAAATTTGTCTGGAAACTATGATGAATGTTTATATATAAACATTATGTATTATAATACAATTTGGATAATAAATGTAATGTTTGCCTTTGTATTCTCTCACAAATATGTTTGGCTTATTTGTTGGTTTATCTATTTATGTTTCTTGCCACATCTGACTTCTTTTTAGCAATGTTGTTTCCCTAAATCTCAGCTATTAAATTAGTGAGTAAAATTTGATTATGACCGATGCACATGATGCCAAAACTACAAGAATACAATTCAAATGGTCTGAAAGTAACTATCCTTTAAATATTCTGTTTGCTTAACTCCAGATATTTCATTGCCACTGAATAGCAACATCATAGTCTGACAGAGACATTATTGTATCAGATCTGTTATGGTTTCCTGACAGTGAAGATTTACTCAAAGATACTGTATAATAAAGCAGCTCTCTGGAGAAAACCCTCAGTGCCAGTGTGATGTTATGATATTGTATTCAGACTTTAATCTCCATCCCACTGTCATAGAATAGATCAATAAAACCCATTCAGAGTTCAGCTGCTGCATCTCTATTCCCTGTTGGTTTCCTAATAGTCATGATAAGAATATCAAAAGTGCGTCATAGAAAACTTGCCAGTGGAAAGATCCATATTAATGCACTTCTCATAGTATCTGCAGACCTCTTTTTCCAGTGGATCTGGTTACATGATGTTATGCAACAGAACTGATGATAAATGTTTAGTCAGTCCTTTGTTACTGTCTGTGTAAGGTAATAAGGCCGTATGTTAACTTCAAGCTTTGTGTATTCACTCTGATGGAAACTGTAAAGATAATACATGACAGAATGGAAAATAAAAGCATCATAGTAAGAAACCACCCTGTCTATTCTTATTCTGAAGTACAAAAAATCACAAGAAGTCCATTTCTAAACAACTATGTATACAGTTTGAACAGCTATCAGCTCTCAGAGGCTGCAGTGTTCATGTTCATTGTTGTTGCATGGTGGGAACCAGACTCACAGCTGAAAAAGTAGGCCACCAAATACATCTGTAGGAATTTTGAAACAGCATTGAATGACACCATGCATATCTTCTTCACATCTCTAATTTATTGGACTTAAAAGTTAAAATTGGAAAAAATGTCAATTTGTTTCAAAGCATTTAATGTTCAGGATTAATGTTCAGGAATTTGTCTTTTGAGTTTTTTTATCCATTTGGTACAGAATAAAACAGCGAAAAGAGGACGACTGACTGCTCTTCTGTGAATTTTCTGTATATTAGTGATCATTCAGCCAGGCACAAATAATTTCAGAGAAAAGTGAAAAACAACCTCCACATACAACTTGACTACAGTACCTTTATTTTCACTAGACAATCTACATAAACAGCCCAAATTCACTTATGCTGGTATCCTCTGACTGGTACATTTCAGCCAATCAGATATTATATCTTGCCCTCTTATTTTGATGGGTTATTTTAGCAGGGTTCATAAAACAAAACTTGCACATGCTGCTATTACTCAATATGAAACTTGAATTCAACAACCCATTTTGCATTACTTTTTTAAGTTAGGCATCCACGTAAATTAAATTTCTGGGTAACTATGGCATGGTTATAAACAGGAGTACGTATGTAAGCATGTGCACACACGTCCATCTAGTTTTATGTTCTTTTGGTCTGGAGTCTGATATTGTGGCTGTCTTATGAAAACCATGGATCTCTAAAACTTTTCATGAGCTACTTTGCTTTGGGACAATGGATTTTTCAGATAATCCAATGTTTTTCTTAATTGTTTATTTACCTGAAGGAGTAAAAGAATTCTCTCAGCCCATCAAGGAAAACTGTAAAAATTAACAAATTTTGGAGATCGATTGCTTTTACATGATTGGCATGATATGTATGGGTGGTGATGGTGCAGTGGATAAGACACATGCCTTTAGTGTGAGAGACCCGAGTTCAAATCCACTGTGAGACACCAATGTGTCCTTGAATAAGATGCTTAACCTCTAGTTGCTCCAGAGGTGTGCAAAGTCTGACATGCTTAACTATTGTAAGTCACTTTGGATAAATAATATAAGCCTGGCAGATAAATGTAATGTAAATCTTGTCTTAATGGAGATACTGGACTGGTCTGCACAGAGCCCTGGAAATACATGTTCAGCTCTTGCATGTGGATGGTGTCAGGTGTCTCCATCCGTGGAGTTTTTATTAAAAAATATGGCTATAATTAGGTATTTGTTACCCATTATTCATGCAGAATTGGAAAATTCAATTTCATTTGATTTAATGATTTCCTTTTAACATTGGCAGCCTTGATCTTCAATATTTGGGATTTCATCATCAAGAAAAAAAAAGTCAAAATGGGCAACTATGGGCTCTGTAGGTTTCATGTGATAATGTACATTAAATGCTGAAACAGTCTCTAAATTGTTAATTTAATGATTACTCAGACTTGACATGCTATCCGGTCACTAGCTTGTATTTCTGCAGTCTTTCAGCTCCATTTATCTCAGTGAACTGCTGAACAAGGAGGAGTGGCTTCAGAGCACACGGAAACACCCTTATGAGCTGAATAACACTAACGAGGTTTTGATTGTGGATGAGAGTGAAGTTATGGATATAGCGGATGGATATGGAGGATGTGGGTGCATAACCAGGCCCTTCATCAGAACGGCAGGCAGACTTCCACAGCAGGAGAAGAAAACACAGGTGAAGTGGCACCATGAGACTCTCCTCAACTGGGACAGCACTCATTTTCCTTCTTATTCAAGGAGCATCAAGAGCATGCACAGGTACAGCAATTTCTCTTTTACAGTTTATTATATACTGTCAAATAATTGATTGTTAACCTACCTAAGCCTAAGATATGACAAAGTCCCTTCACTCTTATTTGACAGCAAAATTTGGGTTTTAGACCCATTTATGGTGTAAAAATGCTAAAGTATTATTCACATATTCTGGCAAACTCTTTCAAATAAAGTTTACTTGAAAGAATCATTTTGGTCAATTTGAGAAAATAACTTGGATACTAGACATGACATAATTTTACAATTAAGGTGTTGTGAACAAGCTCTTATTCCAAGTGACAGTTAATGCAATAACGTTTATATGTGTGAAAATTGATAATTCAGAATGACTTCAAAGCTATAGTGCTTAAAAAAACTCTAGTAAAAAACAACATTGCTGACAGAATTAGTATACTTGAGATGCTATAAAAAACTAGATTAAATAAAGATTGTTGCTCTAAAAAGAGTATACAGTAGCTTCAAAATATAGATGTTGAATTTTGTTATTTTGTTTGATTTGTATACTTTCATTTAAGAAGAAATGTGTGTAAAATAGACCTAAAGAAGAAAATTGTTATTGAAAATTCAATTCTAATCAAACACAAACACTCTAATCAATCTGTCTTGAAAGTCAGTGACATGACATATATTACACAACATTGTATAGAAATATAAAACAACATTTTGTAGAATGTACCATTTTTCAAAGTAACATTGCTCAAAACAGATTTTTACTAAATATATTCATTTAATTTGACGATCACTTTTATGTTTAATTTAATAAGTATTTAATCAGGCAGATCTTATTAAAAAAAGAAGCTATTTATTTCATTACAATTACAATTAGAAAAATGTGTGGTCTATTATAAATTGGCCGACAGATAAATAAGCATGTGTTTAATAGCTTTAGATTTTTTATGTAGGTATTCTGCTGACAATATGAGAGATAACACTGTATGTTTGATTTCTTAATGTCATAAATTTTGTACATTTTCAGTAAAGAAACTGGGCAGCAGCACAGGAAGATTTGCCAATGCCACGTTAGTGCGGCTATCTGAGTATTTGAGTGCGGGGTATAAGAAGGGAGTGAGACCAGTGAAAGACTGGAGGATGTCCACCATAGTGTCCATAGACCTCATGGTTTACTCCATCCTCAGTGTGGTGAGTTTTGATGCACAAATGGTCCACACATCCAGAATGCCACACTAACCTGCTAACAGTGAACTGCTATGGAGTGTCTTATTTATCTGCTGTGTGTGATTCCTTTAATTATTTTTTTATATGCCATATGTCTTCTGCATAATTATCTGCATTAAACATACAAACTTGTGCAGACCTCATTGAGGCTTAGGTTAATAATAAGGTTAATAATAGATTTCTAACAATAACCTCACTAACGTCATGTTAATAAAGCAGGATAGGTGGATTAACCTGCTACCGTACATACACAAAAATTGGCTGCCGATTTTGTAAAAACTGTCCTCCTATGTTGTCATACTAGCTCCTGTCTGGTAATTTGATTAAAAACATTCATTTATAAATATGCATACACACAAACCTTGAGATTCAGTACAATACAATTTAAATTTAAATAGCCAAGACATAACAGAAGAATCTGGGGTTTGTTCTTGTTAATGATGAGTGATAGGCTGCTCTGAGATTATGGAGGTCCTTCCTATGTGATTTAGGACTATCTTGCCAGATTAAACGAGATTCTTCCAGCATCTTTGATGGAACGCCATTTCCCTTCAAATTTTTGCGATGTTTGCTTTAATTTGTGAGTTAGTTTGTTATAACATGGAGCTAACATTCTTTGTTTTATTATCTTCTTTTTTAGAGGGGCAATAGAGTCGAGTATCATTCACAGTGAGCCTGCAGCACTTTCAATGAGATGATCAATTCAGGAGGGACTGAAGTTAGTATAGGAGTCCTCTGTTATACTGAGACATTGTATTGTATTAAATGTCAATGGAAGCACTTCCTTAAATTTTCTTACAGCACTATCAGAAAGCCATCTAGTGTAGGATGTTTTGCCTAATGGTTTATAGTCCAGTAATAGGAATTCAAAAGTTATTAAATAGCGGTCAGATAAAAAAGCATTCTGTGGAAAGACTATTAAATGTTCAATTTCATTGCCATATGTCAGAATATGGTAGAGGGTGTGGTAAAAACACAAGTGGGTTTATGAACACTGTCAGAAGCCTACTGAATCTAATGCTGTACAAAGGCCATCACTGCCAAAATCACCCACAATAATGTCTTCATCTGTTTAAAGGTCTAAACTTGGATCAACAGCGCGTCCGATTATAATTAATAGAAATGGCTGTAGTGTTCAGATTTGGTGTGAAAGACTAAGATCAAGGCTTAAAATGAGTTTAGAATTGATTTATAGGCTTGAATCAAAGATAGCTGCATCTCCTCCTCCTTGGCCAGTGCCTGGAGAAATGTGAGTGTTAGTATGAAGTAATTTTCTAACACAGCTTTAAATGACAGAGATCTGATATTCGAGAGCCCACATTTAATTCTCTTAATTTTTTGTACTACTTATTTTAACACCACAATGGAATAATGACGTGCAGCTAAACATGTCATCACTGGTCAGATTAGGCAGGGACCCAGAGAAAACTACCTGTCCCTTATCATGTCAGTTGATATTGTGCTTCATTGGTGCATATTCTCAATCACATTTTTCAATTAAATTATGAGTAAACTAGTTGACACACAGTCAGCCTGGAGCTTACCAAAGCTTTTGTTTTAAAAAGTATGTCTTAAAAACAGATAAACACAGCAGGCATTTTTCACAGCAGACATTTTGACTTGTCTTGACGAGCAGTGTTAACATTAACAATGAATCATATTCTGATTCATGTGCATATATATATGAATTATATTCAAGTGCCCCAATAAGCCTTGACAGTATGACAGTGATCCAGTAAGCACAATACCAAGGCCCTGAAACCAAAGCAGATCAAAAGAATTCTTCCATCATTCATTTTATTATTTATACCTGTGCCTTTTCTACTGTTCTACTCATGTCAAAATTAGTTC